GACAGAAATGTTGAGTAACCTTTCTAAGGTCAGATAAGTGACAGAGTCATCAGAGTCATCTTTATAGATTCAGAGTTCTGGTTTATTTTAAAACATGGTCCCCCTCCTTATGAGATACATTATTTCTTCTAGAGGAGTCCAGAACAAAAGTGTCTTGGAGTTCCCTTTTCCTTTTCAACTACTTTACATCTAGTTTACATCTAGTAATCTTGTCATTGGAGAATTTTTACAGACTTTGATTATTATCTATTAAGAGAGAAAAGCAACTCTTCTGGAGAGTGCTTTGGGAAATTCCTTGAAGGAAGAAAGAAGAAAACTATGGTGACCTTTGAACCTTTAATGTATTTATGGGATGGTATAAGATGGTTGAAAGACAGTGATTCTAAAGTTTTAATTAACTTGAAATCCATGTATGCCAGTATATCTTAGCTATTCCTGCATTGTACGACTATTTGTGTACATAGAATTTGAAGGAGAGAAAGAGCAGGCAAAGGTTTCTCTAAGCACCCATCTTTTTCAGCATAATAAACTCTTGGGTTTCAGCTTCTGAAAGTGAACATATTCTCAAAGTTATCGGTCCTAAAATATTTTAATCATAATTCAAAGTGAATTATGAATGGCACTGTAAAGAATAAGAAGTCTATATCTAATCAATATTAATTTCACAAGATATAACTAATCAAAACTGGGTATTTATGGTCCAGAGAATTTGTCATTGAACTCAGATTTTTTCATTTTTCAAGTAAAATCATGTAGATGAAGAATTATATATGGTCCGCTCTAAAGCCTCAACAGTGATTTACAGTTGAGAAATTCATGCAGTGCCCTGAATATGTCTTGTTTTTCAAAATGCACTTCCATCCCTACATATTTCTCATAATAAGTGTTAATACTAGGTTAATGTTTGAAGGACAGAGAGTACCTGAGCATCTTTTGGTCTTCAAAGGAATGGCAGTGGTCACAGAAAAACTTTAATACTTTTCTTCAATGTGCACATGTGCCCCATGAACTATGCTTGTCATTGCTGACAACTACATGTAACACTTGCCTATTTCCCCTAGTGAGCCCTTTCCAGACCTTGTCATGGTCCAGGAAGTTTATATTTTTAATCCCATTGAAAAGTTACTGGAATTCTGGAGAGTTGATTCAAATCTATCACTTTCAGTGCAACCCATGGTGAGAATAAAGACACCAATTTATATTTGTGGGGAGCCAAGGAGGTCCTAAGTCTAACTAGAATGATGGTTATCTGGAATGAAGGCCTCAACCCAGAGACAAACTCTGATTTTATTAATTTGTGAAGAAGGGAATGGCTTGAGGATGATTGAATGTGAGAATGGGGGTTGAGGAGTGCATGAATACTGTGAGCTGGGCTAGGTAGAAGGGCTGAAATCACCTCTGTAATTAGCAGAGAGAAGGATATATAGAAAAAGTAATGTGTATCACACAATTTGAGGTAGCACCCAATGTTTTGGGGCCAGTGCCTCAGCTCTAATATGTAATTATTTATGCCCTGGGAAGTCACAGCCTCTTATTCCAAGGCTAGATCCCAGTCAACAGTGTGGAGCTTGGATCTCCATCTTCAACCTGCTCACACATAATTTTTGGTAGCCACGGTGTGAGTAAATACTTCATCATTCTCTTACTTCAATGACTGCACATCAGCACCTTGGCCAGAACAATTTACATTGCTTAAAGTCATTTGAAGGGATAAATAAAAATCCCAGCCAGCTCTGTACATATGGAATATATGGAAATAGGGCCAGGTTTAGCCAAAATGGGATAATTGTCATTCTTTCAAGAGTCATCCAGATGGTCCTCCACAATTTCTTACTTTTATTTTGCATACTAAGCAGCTCTAGACAATTTAGGAATTCTGCCAGATAAATGCTCTTTCAGTATTTCAAATAACAATACTCAACCATTTTGGAATCCCCAAAATGGTGATGTTTGACTCTGCTTTGGATTAAAACCAATGGACAAGATTGGTGGTTTACAGAGGAGCAAACTGGATAAGAGTAGGACAGAGTAGAAACAAAGGGCATAGTCTATATTTAGACAGCTGCCATGGCTCCAGTGATGAATCAAAGAGCCAGAGATGATCTCAGCTCTAGTTTCATTCACCTTCTGAGGGCTATAAACGTGCCTTTCTACCCTTGCCATGCTTTGTATCTTCAGAAAGTCTACATATTTATGGAACATAGCACAGGTCAGTAAGGGATTTGCTTGGACTTCAAGCTCAGTTGTCATTGAATGGCTCTGTGACTTGGAAAATAATAATTCAGGGTCAGTTTAGTGGAGTATCAAACAAATATTAAAATTCTTCTTGAAAACATTGGTAGAAAAATTAGAGTTAAGGACATGAAAAACCCCAGCACAGTACTGGGTACATATTTATTTAATACTATAACAATTTTCAGCTTTACACTGATGGTACTATACCTTGCTTTTGGCAGGTTTCTCTCCACTGGGACCTCCAGTGTCAGAGGACTCAGAAATCTAAAACATTAGAGTAATAAAAATTTGATACTTTAATCTACTTGCCTCCTTCCCTTCCTCTACTTTGCAAGTGTAACTATTAATACGTTGTGTCAATTTCAGAAGTTTAGAAGCTTAACTAAATGATTCAGCAGTTCTATACACTGGCGCGTAGAGGAAATGCCCTAGGGTGACTGTTTATGATCAGGGTGTTGTAATGGTTGATCCATTGTGTCAATTTGAGAAGTATAGAAATTTAAGTAACTCATCAAGAATCCAGAGTCCTCACTTTGCAAATATCCTGGGCAAAAAGAGAGCAGGAAGATGTGAGTATTACAGTCACCTCAGGGCTTTTTTGCTCTTGTTACTTTTGCTGTCTTCTGCCATCATGAATGGTTGCCATCTGCTTGGAGCCAGATGATTATTGACTGAAACTTTTCCAAAAACTGTGTGCTAAATAAATCTTTGCTTCCTTAATTTTGGCCATTGGATATTTTGCTCCAGCAATGAGAGAAATGGAACTAACATATATAGATAGATAGGTAGATAGATAGATAGATAGATAGATGATAGACAAAGAGGTAGATAGATAGACAGATTGATTGATTGATTGATTGATTGATTTAGGGTCTAAGAGAGTTGAAAGATGAAAGCTTCATAGTTTTGTGTGGAAACAGGACCCCATTTGAAGGTCCAAGATTTTGCACTGGATACCTTTCCCACTAATAACCCTACCTGATACCATTTACCAGAACTCCTTCAGCTGAGACTTTCCAGTTATTAATTCTCTCATTACCAAAAATCCTGCCCTTAGCCATTAGTTCTTGGAATGCAGGATAACACTGTGGTGAAGGTTGTATCACCCTGGCAGTGATGACGTATCTTCACAGTGGCTTTCACAAAGCTGCTCTAATTAGGATTCTGCATCACATTGAGTCAGACAGGGAGGTCAAGGTTGTGTATTTTTCCTCTCCCTTTTCACTAGCTCAGCTAGAACTTGTTTTCTACTGGAGGCTGACAAAAATGTAAGGAATGGGGCTTTCAGCTTTGATGCACGATAGTTCTCTATTCTCTTTATTTTATGTCTCTCCTCCCTCAATAAACCATCTTCTTCTTAAAAAAATTTAGGAATATCTTTCCACTCTCTCCTATTAGTATGTGACAGTTGATTGTAGACACTGGTGATTAAGAGAATATAAAAGAGCAGAATGTTTTTGGGTGACCGAAATGAAAAAATAAATCTACACTCTTCCTACCACAGTTAGAAGTGATTTTCCATATGATACCTACCCCAGTGCTAGTGATGCCTCTCAGATATTATTACCTGCTGGCTTTCTAGAGAAGGTTGACTGGAAACTAGAAGCTGTGAGAGGAGTTAGAATGAAGAGTACCAAAATGTTAACACTTTAACTTTCAGATTGGATGCTGAAATAAAAAAAAACCTTAGTGACTTATCTTGTACAAAGTTTCTTCAGGTTGATTGTTCTGTATGACCCAATATCCAAGACCAACTGCCTTCAGCAAAATCAGTATTGATTTCCAAGAGCACTCTCTGAGGTAATGGGTCCTTGTTAATTCTGTCACAGACTTACTGCTTCTAATCACCTTCTCCCATAACTCAACAATGTCTATTTTCACATCTCCCAAAAGGTTTTTACAGACTGCTCCTATCTTCACAAACATTTCTTCCTCTTCCTCTCCTCAGCTTTAAGTCTCACAACATATATCTCTAAAGCACATCTTGTTGCAGTTCTCCATTCTTCCCACCACTGACCATTTCCTTTCTCACTGTGATTCATACTCTTAAACCTTTTCCACCATCCACCACTTCTTGGATCCTGATGTATTCTCCACTGCCTCTTGTAGCCCTTCAAGGTTGCTAGTTATTTTATGTTGATGGGAACTGATTGGGATCATTCCTGTGGACTCACATAGCACAATCCTGTCTGATTTTCTTACACCCATTATATTACTTGCCATTACATAATATAATAATGGCTGCCTTACTTTTATAACTCTTTTCTATTAAGCCCTTAAGTTAATTGCTGGGACTATTAGAATAGTAGACTACCCAGCACATAGCCATTTGCTCAAAATGTGCAGTTGCTTAATACAAGTTTACAGATTATGTAAGTTCATAAGCAGGGTATTTAGTTCATTATACTTTTTTTTAATATATTCTGGAACAGCAAGGCAACTACAAGCAAATGGTAATATTTTTAACACACAAGTAGACAAAAAGGAAGACAATCACAGATTAGTGGTTTCATGTTTGTTTTTGTTGGGTATTTTTTGTGAAGTGTAATTTAACTTCTGCATCTAATCATTTTACTGATTATTTTAAAAACATAAATGTTTCCAATAAACTTTATATAGCTGTCTGAACTTCTATGCTGAAACAAATAAGGAGGATGAATAAGTAATTTATTAACACTGATCATGAAATTAATTATGGGTATATTAAAAAGGAGGGAATCCTATTAGAACTGGAATACATATAGTAAGTACAATGTGTGCTCCCTGCTACCAACACTCCCTCACTTCTGATTTTGAGCTCCAATGCCCACTGCCTCAAGACAGCTTTAGTAAATACCATTCACAATCTTTTCTAAACTTCACATGGAGCCAAAGAAGAACATGGCAGTTGCTTCATATCTGGTTCTGACTTCATCTTCCACTAATTCCTCATATTGCTCTGGTCAGACCTGTGGTCACTTCCTGTGGATTTGTAACAGTAGATGACCCTTTAAGCAAGTATGCTTAAATTTGTTATTTGCTCAGATAACAGTTCCAGTTCCTGTTACTTTTGTTTCTTAGAAATGGCTGGTCACTGTGATGCATAGCAGGTCACTATGATGTATATTGCAAGCCACTCTGCCTCTTTACTTCCTGCTTGCTTATTCTATATAAGCCCTAGACCGCCAGAGATCAAGGCCTGATATTTTGGGAATGATCCCAATCAGTTCCCATCAACATAAATAAAGCTGTCTCCAAATTCTGATTGCCATTTTAGTGTTTCTGGTTGCTGCTGAAGATCCTGGCCATATACTACAAGGCTTTCATTTTGGTGGTTTTCAGATAAGTTCAAGGATCCTACAGAAGCTCATTTTTCATGTATTAGAGTAAAACAGTGGCCTGCATTACAAGGATTGCTGTCTCATAAACATACAAGTGATGGTATTCTTTCTCTCTAAATCTCTGAAGCAAATTCAGATACTGTTCTTCTTGACACAGGTGACAATCAGGAAAATCAAACCCAGGTTTGGGATCACATATTCCTGAGTGGGTATCCCCAGGCTCTGTCACATTACTTGCTCTTCTACTGATTCTGGTTGCTGGACAACGAAATAGATGGGCTCATTGACGTAAACCTCAATCAGATAGAGCCCAATAAACAGATCAAGAATTAGAGAAGTTTTGCTGAAGATATTTGAGAACACATATTTGAATATTTTGCTGGATAGAGCCAATAAATCATCCTGATATACAGTAAGTAACTCTTTAGTGACACTAATGGTTGACTGGACCAAATCATTTGCCTTATCACCTTTGGTGTTCTCTGAATGTAACTCTAATCCAGCAGACTTGCTTCTTTTTAGACTATTCCAGCTTGCAGGGTCTTGTTGCAGCCTTTTAGCCAGATCTGAGGTTCTTCATCATGAACCTCCACCACAAACTTCAGTGCTTTCATCTGTAGGATTTCTCTGTTGGGTTCAGGACTCCACAAAATTTTCAATTTGAGGGGATTTGAACCACACATCAACCTGTACTCCAAGAATTGCATATCCACAAAGTCAACAGTGAGGAGATTTTTTGTGATCTCAAAGAGGTTATTGACCCTCTGAAGCTCATCCAACAAATCAACTTTAACAGCTGGCCCCAAATAGAGGCTTGTCTTGCCCAGTTTTCATTCAGGAGGATGCTGCCTAGGACAAAGGCCAGAAGTCCTGCCTTTGGGTCTCTGCTAGTCTATCTGTAGTCTGGGGACCCCATTTGCTGATAGAGTTGTGGATGTTGGCCTCAGGATCAAGAACCTTAAGTTTCAATCTAAATACCTGATTCAGGTGTGCTGAATCTCATCTGAGTATCTCAGAGAACTGATCTGAGTATTCTTTGAGAAACTCCAGCATCTCTGGCTGACGGGCAGATACACAGTTTGGCTTTTATCATGAAATTCACCAAAGTAATCTACCTGTCTTCTATCAGGCAGTGGATCAGGGTGCCCTCAATCATTGGGCTCTTTGTTGAGAACATCCATATTGCTTGGTCAGTGGCAGTTTGAGCACTGGCACTCTGAGGATTGACTGGAAGCTAAGAATTCTAGGAGACACCAAAGATTAACTTGCAACTGAGGGATAGATACATTAGTAACTTTTGTTTCACCCCCATTTTTGGTGTAATGTGCATAGATCTTTGGTGTTGTGTGCTAGGATAGCACACATTCTGGCTTACCAGAGACATGGCTCCAGGAAAAAGGAGTATTTAGTGATCAGCCAGAGAGAGGACAGGAAGTGCCTTGTTAACTAGGTATAGTGCTGAAGCCTGAGACCCAGAAACTAGGTAGATTAAAATTGGCAGCCATGAGAATGCAAATTTGTTACAAATGCACTTAACAGTAATGAACACAAATTAGAAGAACTGACCCTTGTTGCAACCTTCTCAGGTGCATTCCGGCTCTGCAAAGTAATGTCTATAACCCACAGCAATTCTTCCATTCCTGCCTCCCACTTTTTCAGGGCAGGCATGACTGGTCCAAGTGCTTGCTGATGGACTCAAGCTTACAAGAGAAGTGAATTGAAGAATGATTACGGGATAGTGGATGTTCAACAATGCTGTAAGAGGACTTAAAAAATAATCCTCTTGAACTCCCCTCCCCATCCTATAGTTATACCGTCTTGTTCTGGTACAGATAAGGTCAGAAACTCTGTTCTGTAAACAGTTTATGTCATCTTTCAAGATTCATAAACTCTATCTTCTTTATTTTTATTTTTATTGGTACTGGGGATCGAACTCACGACCACCTGCTTGCAAAGCAGGTGCTTATACTGCTGAGCTAAATCCCCAGCCCCAACTCTGTCTTCTTTAAAGGCTAAATTATTAAGTGCTTTGTCTTGCTTCTGTACCCTTGCTTTCCCCACTCCGCCCCTCAGTTTCTAAAGATCAATCAATCCCCTCAGTCAAATGTATAACACTACAAGTTTTCTTTTAACAGCTAGCAATTTGGACGAGTTCGGTTGGGTCGCTATGAATCTAAAATGTTAGAAATAAATCTTCATTTTTTCATTGGTTGATCAGTATCTCTTGGATACTGCAACATTTCTGGCAACCCAAATGAGATCAGAGATGTCAGATTTGCTATATCTCCTTTGTCTGCAAGACAGAGAAGACCTGAGCTGCTGGACACCTGAGACCTCTCGTGCTAACGGGTGAAACTGCAGCTCAGAGAACTTAGCAGCCTTCTTATGTCCCCTGTCAGTGAGAAGGGAACTTGAAAGGATTCAAGGTGATTCCTGAGCAGGAATGTACTACAGGACTGTGGTAAGGTTTTGGAGGCCCAAGTGAAGAAAATTCATTACATTAGGTTGGCAAGAGAGCCCTATCACCTCCTGGGGGAGTGTGCCTAGTCACTTTACATGGATTGAGTCAGATGAAACCTACAACACCAAATGGAATATGGGAGGCTCACGGTAAAAATTACTGTATAAAAATAGGCTCAGATTGAGAGCAGATTGCAGGTGATTCTCAAATATCTCACAGGATAGGCTGGCAATCATAGTGTCAAATTGAATACAGGAGTAGCCTGCAGTGAGAAATGTTTTAAGAGATTGTTGAAATTGCAGGAGTGGCCTGCAACAGGAGGGACTAAAAAAGCCAACACCAGGATAAAAACAACCTAGAAAAAGGAAGTACATACATGTATGATTTTGAGCAAAATAAAATGTATGGATCCAAAGTTGCTTATACTCACTCAGCTTCAGACTGAGGGAAGAAAGCAATCTAATCAGTTTGAAAATGAATGTAATTGAGAAAAATTGTGCTATAACACATGAAAGCATAAGAAATCTGCTTAGCTTTATTGCACCAGTATACACAGGCAGGGTTTCACAGGAAGGTTAACAGAAATAAAGACCACCTTGTAAAATGGGGTGATGACTCTGACCATCCTGAATGGCAACCAAGACATTAAAACAACTGAACAACCACAGAGGATGGAGGTGCAAAGCAAAGACAGTGCCAGCTGTGCCTGTTAACTTTAGAGGGGCAAAACAAGGATTGTATTTTCACTTCAAAATAAATGTGATGTACAATGCCAGTTCTTGTTTGGTGTCACCAAGCTGCTGCTGTCTACAGGTATCTGAAAGCTAGAACATCTCCAGTGTGAAGCTAAATGGCTCAGCCCGAGGGAGAGTTTATAGGAGTAATCAGGTTACAAATTTTAACCAATTGGCAAATGTACTTTCAGTTTCTAGTTTGAGTTGACTTGAATAAAACAATTTAGTGAATTGCAAATTCTTAAATTCCAATTACTGGACTAACTTGCTCTTTTCTCTGCTTTTGTTGGTTTAAGATAAGAACACTGACTCGAGGTTACTCAGAAATCTATTAAGAGTAGGTCAAATTTATTATATGAAGGAAAAAACACTTTAAAATTTAAGTAGCCACAGTGAAGTTTGTCATAAAAGGTTTATACTGAGAAAGAAAAATATTAAAAAGACTATAAATATAAGGTATACTTTTGGTATGAGAGAATTTTTATGATACAAATATTGTACAGCTAAAGAGACAGAGAGATAATGACAAGACTGAGCTGTTTATGTACATTGGAAAAAGCTTATGGAAGTTGTTTATTTTAAAAATCATTACTTATTAATTTGGGGGAACTTTGTTCCTTCAAAAACTTCCCACAAGAAAAATGATCAAATCAACCTAAAACAAAAATGCTTTAAAAAGTAATTTGCAGCCAGGTGAGGCAGCATATGCCTGTAATTCCAGCAGTTGGGAGGCTGAAGCAGGACTGTTGCAAGTTCAAGACTTGTCTGGGCTACAAAGTGAGCTCAAGACCAGCTTGAGCTGCATAGGAAGACCTTGTCTCAAAAAGACAAAAATGTGATTTGCTTTACAATACAGCAAATATTCTAGAAAAAGCACTGAATACCACCCCACTAAATTTTATGTTGGCTAACTTTAAAAGAGTATATACAGAAAATGATCAAATAAAGCTAGTCCTCTTCTGGGGTTAAAAATTCTGTAAAATAGACTTTCCTTTGATAGTAAATGGCTGGCCAGTTGGAAGGGGTAATTAACAAAATATCAGATGTATATATTGAATATCAGGATCAGTTTCCCTACATTAATCTTTGTCTAAATACAATTCAGACTACAGCCATGTGACACCAGCTTTATCTAGCTGCTTTTTGAAAAAAACTAGGAATTTGCTGGCATGAATGCACCCCAGCTTTCAGAAGTGAGTAACAAAAAGTATGTAAATCATGACCATGAGGCCAAAAGTTGATACATTGCTCAAACAAACAAACAACCCTCCCCAAACACATCTGTTTACAGTAGTGCTTACAGAGGAAATTTTACAAATCCTACTAAGGTGATAGAGATCGTGACACTGATGAAACTTGAGAGTCAAACAAAGCTGAGATCCACCAGTCAACCAAAACTAGATTGGAATCAATGTAAAAATATGGACTCTTGTTTATTTTTTTCTGTAAATCTGTATAACTTGTACCCTTTCTCTGCTTTTTTTTCTCCTTAAATAAAATTTAAAAAAATATGGACTCTGACAAAATAAATATTTCAAACTGATAGCAGCAGAGGTGATAAAAATTCCAAAAGTAAGGTGCTACCTGCAAAAGTCTATTGTTTTCAAGGGAAAAAACAAAATGAAACAAAACAACAACAAGAAATATATGGTGCACTAACTGGGCTGACAGAAAGTAAAGGCTGCCAGGACTAGGTCAGGGATGGGTATCTCCATCCCTTTAGATACCCCAAAGCCCATGGATACAATGAGACTAGGAAGTCAATTCAAGGACATTTTGGTAGATGATAAAACTATACATTTGGTAAAGACACAAACTATTGGAATGTTATTCAAAAATCATATGACTACAGTTAGAGCCACTGGAGCCCCCTAAAAAGGCCATTTTTCTGATCTGAGAGTTGTATCATAAAAAGAGGTTTAATATAATTTTCTGTGTCTTCCAAATGGGATGTCCTGCTGAAAAAGAGTACTACTCAAAACCTATATGCCCAAATTACCTTGGGACACAGGATTTTAAAAAAAGACAACACATCACAAGGGTGACACTGAAGAATCCCTCACCCAGCTGTGCAATACAACAAAGAGTAAACTCAAGCAACAGAAGAGGCTAATAAAAACACACTGAAGCAACAGCAATTAATAAAAAAGATCCTCACACTGAATGTGAGCTTTGAAAACCTTACTAGTAACAAGATAAAACTAAAACCAGAGTGAGACACATCTACATTTCCAAGAATACATTAAACATCAAGAAACAGACAAAATTGGGGTCTTCTTGACAGCAACAATTGACAGCACAGAAAAAACAGCTGGGCCATAAGGCTAAAAAATGCACACAAAAGTGCCTAACAACTGAGGAGGAAGCTACAAGAAAGCACAAGGCTGTACTGGAGAAAATCCAACAACTTAAGGTCAATATATAAGAGGTTGATGATGCTCGAAACATTAGCCAGAACAATTAGACAAGAGAGATAAATAAAATGACTAACGATAGGAAAGGAAAAAGTTAAACTGTCATTATTTGCAGAGGATATAATACTACACATAGAAACCACCAAAATCCATTGAAAGATTTCTAGATGTAATAAACAAATTGAGTAATGAAGCTGGATACAAAGTCAGAACTCGAAAATCAACAGCATTCCTGTACACAACTCACTGAGAAAGAGAAACCACATCCTTCACAACAGCACCCAAAAATTTAAAATACTTAGGAATAAATCTAACAAAGGAAGAAAAAATTTATACAGTGAAAATTATAGTACTCTGAACAAAGATATCAAAGAGAATTTCATAAAATAGAAAGGAATTCCTTGTTCTTGAATAAGAAGAACGAACATTATGAAAATGGCCATTCTCCCAAAATTGTTATACAGATTTAATGCAACTCCAATCAAAATAACATTAGCATACCTCACTCATCCAGAAAAATTGTCCCTAAAATTCATCTGGTACCAGA